CATCCTGCGTTTGCCTGGTTCTGAACACAACTGCACCACGTTTATACTTCACACTCGCTGACAGTGTTGGCTGCAGTGGTGTTGTGTTAGAAAGTGTGTAGAGGGGATGAATGGGGGGGGGGGGGGGGTTAGGTAGCATACGAATTGTAGATGGCTGGCAGGTGCTCTGGGGTGGTTTGCTCGTTCTATCGTCATCAACTCTCCATCTTTCATTTGCATCTTATTCTCTAGTATCACCTCTAATTTTCTGCACTTATGTGACCTGATTGTGTTACAAGTCTTACTAAAACTAAAAGAAAACTAAGCTTAAGACTTTTGTCTGACTTAACGCCGCTCTTACCAACACAAGCGTAAGAAACAAAATTGACAGACAAATTGAAAGTACACAAGGGTTATGAAAATATTCAGATTAAATTACATGTACTTGCGTTGCTCTCTGAGGAAACACGAATTGTGACTTAGATTTGTAATATTACGTTTTGATATTTTCTGCAAGCTTCAGACGTACGGCGCACACGACAACAACAAGTCCTGAAATGTAAAAATATTTTATGATAATATGCCTGGTCAGTCTTCGAAACAGCCTCTCCAGTACAATATGAATACGGCCTCTATTGTATCGTAAGGAAAAATGCGAATATGCATCCTTGACCTTTTTCGAGAGTTTTGCTGTTTCTAGGGCTACTCTTGGAATGTACGAACCAAATGGTTCAAGTACCATCTCCTCTATGACAGCGATTTTCATAACTTAAAAAAATTTGCTTCACTTCTTCATGATCTATCACTTCTGCGGGGATTCCATATAATGCTAAATGATGAGCAACAGGAAGGGGTTGATGCGAAGAAAAACGTGAAAGGTGTAGTCTCCATCAAGTACGATATAGGGAGGAAGAGGACCATAGCATAAAATAGGGAGAAGACGATAAAAGAGGAAAAATGAAAAGAGATAATGGAGGACGAGGAGGATGTTTTGAGAGTTGCTGTCTTGACTACTGCCTTCGCTTTTGATGATGAATATTACGTTGTTGTTAATATTTCTGCTGCTGTTGCTGCTGTTGCTGCTGTTGCTGCTGTTGCTGCTGTTGCTGCTGTTGCTGCTGTTGCTGCTGTTGCTACTGTTGCTGCTGTTGCTGCTGTTGCTGATGTTGATGATGACCATGATGATGATGGTGGTTGTGTCGGTTATACTGGGTGTCGATTCAGTTCATTCATAGAGCTTCATTCTAGAATTTTAAAAAAAGAAAATGAAGTTCACTTGTCCTATAGAAGTCAAACAAACCAACATCTACCTCACAGACAGGCAGGTAGGCAGACAGACAGACTGACATACAGACATACATACAGACAGACAGACAGACAGACAGACAGACAGACAGACAGACAGACAGACAGACAGGCAGACAGACAGACAGACAGACAGACAGACAGACAGACAGACAGACAGGCAGGCATATAAGAAACACATGCGCTTTAACAGTACCTCCTCTCAGGGAATTCTACATGAGCAGCAGCCATCTCACATGTACTGCTTTTATCGTGTGGTCGACTGCCGTTTTCCCAGGATTTCCCCTGGGGTGATGACGTCACTCATGATTTCTAATTTTTCTGTTTTTCATATGTGTGAATGTATGTGTGTAGTGTATGTCGAGTGTGTGTTTTTTGTGGATTTTTGGGGGGAAGGGGGGCGAGTGTGGCAAGTCTAGAGACAATAATTCACATTGTCGGTGTAGTAAGCAATCCCGCCAACTTTGAAATTGAAACACGTAACCAAGGGAAGCGTTATGAATTATGAATGAATCTGCTTTAGTATGGAGTATTTTCACTTTTTACGAATTCGGCTTGTGAACCAAACGAGAGTTCTCTTTCTTTCAGACTGCTCGGCAATATTTTATCCACATAAATCATATCGGAACCTCAAAACATCTTGTTTTTTTGTCTTCAATAAAAACAAATGATTATTTTCTGTTAGTTCCATCCTGCATGCGACATCTGCCACACGGAACTCCAGGTTGTCAACATTCCCGTTAGCAGTTTTGCTCACGCCACTGGTTTGTCAGTTAATCCATCACTTTGATATCGTACCCAACACTCCAATCAATCAGAAAACTCATCGTGTTCCGTTTATTGTGGCCAGAAACGAAGGGGCCTATTCATTGGGTGTACATGGGTAAAAGCACAACTCCTTCTCGGGCTCAATTCTAACTGTATTGAAACATTCCTAGCTAGGCACCCGAGGTCAATCAATAACAATGCTCCATTAAAATGTATCTATGAAAAAAAAGAAGCCAAAGATAAGGAGATAGAGAATAAGAGAAAGAGAGAGAGAGAGAGAGAGAGAGAGAGAGAGAGAAGCGCGCAGAGGATAAGAAGAGTAGAAAAGAGGAACAAAACAGGATCCAGAAGTTGGAGGAAATGGAATTATGTCTTGACATTACAGGCTAATGTCTTGTCACTGGCGGGGGCACAACTCTGGGGATGAGTGGTAAGTGGGTCGGGGAGA